CTTACCTGGCCCTATTGAACTGACTGGCACACAGAGCCTATACCTTGTCTTCATGTCCTTTGCTCTCTTGAGAGAAGAGGAGTTTTGAGGAATGATGTCCTGCATGACACTCAGCTGCTTAGACATGTACCTTCATGCAGGGAGAACCTAGGGTCAAGAATGACAGAAGTAATAATTTTTGTGACTGTCCCTTTCATGCTGTCCTGCCATCACCCTGACTTCTTTCTGAAGGTATCCCTTTTAGCTTCTGGTGACATAACACAGAGAACAAGATCTTAATATCTTTTTTTAAAAAACACAGTATCAGATTTTGCTAGAACAGGACCATCAGCATAGTGTTGGGCACTTTCTAAGCCTGCTTCCCACTTGTGAGAAGTGGCTGGGTTGATTAAATGAAAGAGAAGTTAAGGACAGGGCATATGTATGTTCCCATGTGTATCTTCCACATTAGTGAGTCAGTCTGGTATCCCCTAGTATAGAAGGCAGAGTTAGATATATTAATGTGGTTTGTGGAAATATCCTATGTGTTACAATTTGACTGGCTGTTCTTATGCTGATGGAGCAAATACAGCTAAATCAAAGCACGTCAAACAGTGGCAACATCAAGATCTAGTTTAAAGTCTATGAGCCTTTCTTAGACAGCAGCAAAGCTGTCAGCTGAGGGTGACACTTGAGCTCTTCTCAGCTGTGAGTGCAAGGGCAACCAAGATCCTTCAAAAGATGCCAGTGGAGAGGAGAAAGAGGAACTGTCCTAGTTACGTCTGTGAGCACTGGGTGAATAACCAGAGACGCCCAGCCAGCACGAAGCAAAACCTGGCAGTCCTCTCTCAGCCCAGGGTAATGAAGCTAAATGGTACCTAGAGCTGTCAGAGGAAGATCAAAGGTGAGGTGGAAGGAAACAAGTGGACAGCTTTATTTTTATACCTTTTCTGTTCCCTCTTGGGTTAAAGGTGAAATAAGCATTTGCTTTGAAGAAGCTGTTTGTAAGTTAATCAGACGTTTGGGAGGAAGAGGAAGCCTGTTCGATCCTACTGTACTAACATGTATGGTAAACTCCTACAGCACCTGCAGAGCCAAATTTCAGAGGGGATGAACTGAGTGGTGGCAACCAGAGATGGGTGAAGGTGCCATAATTCCAAGCGGTGGAGTCAGGCCAGACATAGATGGGCTCAGAGCACAGTTACTCTTTGGCTGTAATGTGTGCTTAATTTATGGCTGGGAATAGGCCCGTTGAGTAGAACAAAACTAATTTTTAGGTCTGAAATAAGCATGTACAGAAATACTTCATGGTCTTGAAGTAAAACCTAGTCCTCAGTGTAAACTTGAAGGACATTAACACCAGCAGCATGAAATTGGCATACTTTCTGGTGGGATTTGCTTAAAATAAGTGACAGGAGGAGGAAACAAAGAAAGAACAGCTGAGAAAGGGAGATGAAAACATGCAGAACAGTAACATACAGAACGATACAGGTTAGATAAGGAGACCTTCTGATGCTGCTAAATTTGTGCCCTGAGAAACTGCACTTTCAACCCCTTCAAGCATTAGGAAAAAACCCAATAGCATTCTGACTTCTACTTAACTGTTTTGATTTAGTATTAACTGATTTTCTTTAGAAATAACACATGCAGGCACCGGAGTGTGTTGTTGACTTTGCAAGGTATTTATTTTTTAAAAAAGAGATGAATGCCAAGAAGCTGTGCATTTATATGAAATACATTCCAGCAGTACAGTGTTTGTTTAAGTATGACAGAGTATCAACATTGGTTTTTTATATACTGTTTAGTCCTTAGAGTTAGCATGCAAAATAATGTATTATACTGTGATGTTTATTTCTATTTGAGCCTACAGTGCCTTGTAGTCTGAGGTAAAAGAGCATGGTGGATGGTGGTAATCAAATCATCTCTTCCTTGAAAAGTTGATTAAAATGAGTGTGACTGTTGTATTTTTACATGCCTTTTAATTGATTGCATTTTTTAAAAAGTTCTGAGAAAACACAAATAAGAACTATGGCTACAAAAAGTATGTGGCTAATAGGTCATTATCTGTGTGGTAGCTCAGTTCTCCTCTTTTCGGCTAAGACTCGAGTTTTCTTAGGCTTTCTCCTAAGAAAGAGAAAGCTAAGAACTTGATTTTTACTTGTTTTGAAATACCTGTCATTGTACTTATGAATTAATCCAATCTTCCCTGCAGTTATTTTTTGTTGCTACTGTTAAGGGGAAAACGTTTGTAATAGTTTGTCAAAGAAGAAGAGATCATTTTGATTCCTGGCAGACACAAACCTATAATGATAATTGCATTTAGCAGTCTGTTGATGAGGTGTCAAAATGCTTCCTGAAGATTCTATCCCATAGAGAATCATAGAATCATTGATTTTGGAAAAGACCTCCAAGATCATCCAGTCCAACGTTTGACTTAACACCACTATGTCAACTAAACTATAGCACTGAGGGCCATGTCCAGTCGTCTCTTGAATGCTTCCAGGGATGGTGACTCCACTACTTCTGTGGGCAGCCTATTCCAATCTTCAACCACCCTTTCAATGAAGAAATTCTTTCTAATGTCCAACCTGGCATATCTTGAGGCTGTTTCCTTTTGCATTGTAATGCATTGATATTAATCTAAAAGATGTTTGCTTGTCTTGCTTGTTTGTGAAACAAACAAACAAACAAATTAAAACCCAGTTGTAATATAACTGAATTTAGGCATGCAAATTCTGGATTTTCATGGTCCTTTTTCCCACACCTCCCACATACAAACACACACACAGAGCTTTATGAAAGGGCTTTTAAAAAAATTGTTCTACACATCTAGAATGCTGCTTATGGATTTCATTGAATAGTGTCTTTAAAACATGCACTCATGCACTGTTAGTTTCTCTTGCTAAAATTTGGTGTCATTGGAACTGGTATTGTTGCCACAGTGTTCATTTGTCAAAAGATGCAAAAATTTCAAAAAAGTAAATGTACCCAAAAATGGTTTCTGCAGTTCTCTAGTTTTTACAGTTTGCCAGTTACCGCAGGAACATTTGTCCCCACTCAGACACTTACAAACTGGTTGCATTTTAAATTTTTTTTTAGAAGTTTTGGGTTTTTTTTAAATCCTTAAGTTTCCTTTCATTTTCAACAAGGTGAAAGACTGTTAGAAACTTAGTTTGAGAATATTATTACAAAGACAAATGAAGGACAAAGTTTAATGAAAACTTATGCGGAAAAATACTGCTATATACAAATATATATATTTGTAAATAAGCAAAGATAAGAAATACTATTGCCACAGTGAACAGATGCCACTTATTAAATACTTGTTCAAATGTAATTAAAATGTTTTGTAAGGAGTTCTTGGTACTGTTCATGTTGGTTTTAATAGGTCTTCTCATGGCAAACTCTCATAAGACTGAGGGTAAACTAGTGTCCTGGTATTTAAACACACACAGGCCTGTCAGGTTCTTGTCAGTCTTACACAGTATAATGTAACAGCTGAAACAGGCTCAGTTAATGAGTTAAAACAGGATAGTATAACAAATGCCAGTCCTTGTGTTTTTGTAGACTGTATTTTGCAAAGTGATATTTATAAATAAATGTAATGATTGGATTTGGTTACTAAAACTACTAATACATAATAACAGTAGTGGTGGTAGATGCTGGGTATAACAGGGTTACAACAGGGATGTGTCTAACAGGGTTCTATTTGATATTTTAAGGAATGGAAATGATACAACGTCAGTGTATCAAACATTTAAGTATTCCTGTCTGGCTGCCCAGCATTAAAATGCAATCATGAACTGTGATCATTGTCTGGTTTTTCATGGGGTGCTGTAAGGATTGGTGCTTATGACTGCTATCTCACAGGTTTATCAGTGATCAGTCAGTTGACTGCTGGGAGCTTTCTCAGATGATAATGATTTCTGGAGTGTTATTTATTGAAAAAGTCTGGTTGGTTACAACCAACCTTACTTGGCAAACTGTACCCAAGGAAATAACTCCATGTTAGTAGCCAAATTCAAAGACATCCACATATGAACAAGAAAGTTGTCAAGTTACCTCCTTTTTTTCTTTTTTCCTTTTTTTTTTTCAAATGTGAAGGTGTCTTAGCAAGCATTGACTTCAACTGTCATGAAGGTCAGAATAGCTCAGCTGAGTTCCTTCTGAGATAATAATAGGATTGAAATAGGCTGGTGTGATCCACATATGCCTGCCCACGAAACAGACACAGGGTAGAAAGAATGTGCATTTTTAAGTTTAGTTAGTCATTGGATGTTTAGCCAGGGTCATAAAACAGCTTTTAAATCAGGACTAACTTTTTTCCAAGCAATGAAAAAATTGCAATCACGTTTGTTGGACATGAAATAGTAAGGCCCACTGCAGAGAGGGGGAACTCACTAGATAGGTCAATGTAGATGGTAAGTTTGTCTCTTCTGACCAGCATGTTCCTTCTGATGTTAAGCTGTTAATTATTTGTGTTACTGACAGTTTGTTTTCAATAGGGTTCCAGCACCTACATAACTATTTCTTTTCTTTTCAGAACTCTTCTGTCCTTTAATCAAAGGAACCGTCCAGATAATGTCATTCCATGGAACTGAAACATTGGTGAATTAGTTCAGGTTTCCTAAGGAGTGGTAAAATGGAGCCAATAACATTCAAAGTTAAAAAGTGTCAAACACCTAGTGATTTCTCAGCCAGTTTCAGTCTCCAGCTCGTTGGTTCTCTCCCAGTGCATTCCCTAACCACCATGTCAATGCTGCCGTGGATTGTGGCAGAGATCCGGATGCTCAGTGCAAAGTCTTCCAAAGAAGAACCTGGTGTCACCCAAGTCCGACTTCACGTTTCACCAACGAGTTTGCGATGTGAACCAGACACAGGGGAAATCCAGCAGTGGGATCCTTTGATTTGTTCAAGTTTGTTTGAATACAAGCCACAGCATGTCCACAAACTGATTCACAATAGCCATGATCCAAGCTACTTTGCTTGTCTGATAAAGGATGAAGCAGCAAAACAGCAAAGTATCTGCTATGTATTTAAAGCCGATGATCAGACAAAAGTAAGTAAAGAAAAAATCCAAACTGAAGCAAGCATTCCTGGAGTTGCTTTTGTGGTGTTTGAATCCTATCACTACATTATAAGACCTTAAGGTTGTACTTACAATTAGAGTCTGGATCTCACTTACCAACAATGTCACTTTACCTAATGTTAATGGTTCAGTTGAATTTGAACTGCTCAATATGTGAAGTGAAAGATATGTACATTTCCTACAGGATTGGGGCCTAAATTTCATCCAGCTTAAAAGATACTTTAGTTTGGGATATGGACTGAAATCTTGGCACTCAAGTCAGTGAGAGTTTTTCTGTTGATGTCATTAGGGCTAGAATTTCACTCTTGAGTCACTGTGAACTTTATCTAATCCTGCACTCAGACCTCTCAAATTTCTGTTTCCCTGAGTTGAGACCTATGTGACTGGGAAACAGAGATACCTCCTTTCTCAGAAAGAGAAGGGAGTAGGGTGGAACCTCCGTGTGTGGCGTATCTCCAACCACAGGACACTGTGGAAACCTCTTCCTGGTTCTGTAGTCCACAAAGCCTGGCAGATGGCATTGGACAACAGGAGAAAGGCACAGTCTCTGTGACTTTGTGACATGCAGGCTTGCTGCTGCGTGGTGTGAGACAGGAGATGGGTGTGCATGTCTCGCACTGGGTGAGATTTGGCTGTCTGCATTTCATAAGAACCAATTGTGTCCTTGATGAAAAGGTGGAAGCATTAAAATTGTCAATCCCTTCTGTTAGTAATGTGGCACAATAACACCTGTGAATGAGTAAAATGACAAGGATTTGACACAAGTCTGTTGTGATACACGGAGACAAAATGGTGATGTATCCTTCGCCTCTTGAGTGTTGACTCTAGTTACAATGCTGGAAAACAGCATGTTTGCTTGAGTCATAGGAGATGTCCTACTAAAACACCCTGAAGGTATTATGTGAATATACACCACACATGGGATTTATGCCAACCTGCCCAACAGCAAAACACTATACAGTTCCAAATCCATGGTCTCAAGCTTAGAGCTCAAAACATATGGAAACAGCTTTAGTTAAATCCCCCCAGATAAAACAGCAGTTCCAGTAAATTAGAAGGCAAATACATCGTAAATCACAAACATTCAAGTGAGAAATCCTGTCAAGTTAAATGTAGAATACCAAGTGTATGTATGTAGGAACAGAAATAAGGAATAGATGTTTCAAAACTTGGCAATGAATTGCAGCTGGTATTCAAGTAGCATTTTGCAGTTGCTTGTGCACTTATTTTCACTTCTGATTTTTCAGGATTATGGTGAGTACACTGCATGATCATTTCCAGTACATTTTCTTCTGCATTTTCTTTTGCAACAAAGGATTCGAGTACTTTTTCTTCATGTTTGATCAAATTCCTGGACACGTTTGAATTGAATGAGAACAAAATAAGTCTCTAGTTGAATTTGCAGCTGTCTCTACATGTTTTTGGAGACAACAGTCAGAATTTTTGGATGCCTGTTTTAGCTTCACACAACTATCTGTCCTTTCAAAAACTACCCTCCACCTGGTCTCTTAACTTGCCTTGATTACAAGGGTTGTCTTGACTTTTTTGCAGGCTAGGTAGACATCTAATCAGCATTTGTGGACCTATGTTTTAACTAAAGGATAATGGAAATGCCAAGTGTTCTTACCTTCTAAAGTGAAGCCCTACTTCCTTTGCTTAAATTCAATGTCATTTCCATGTTTTAAGTAAGTCCCTTATGCTTTATAGGGTGCTGTTACTCTGCCCTGAATACTGTCATATAATGCCTTTTAGCTAATTGATGTTTGTGTATTTATCAGGAGGAGTGAAATGTTACCTGTTTTGCAGGAACCCAACTTGAAAGCATGGGAGTGTACTATATACTTTATTACAAATTGAAAGAGCTGTTTGTTAAAAGCCAGTGAGTTGGCATGAAGAATTTAGCATTATGTTACTGCAGCTTATGTTCAACTTTAGAAGAAACAAATTTTTAGAATTGGGCTTTTGCAGCCTGTGTGACTCCTGTGTTGATGCTCTTGTTTCTGAGGACTCTTTTTTTACTATTTGCTTCAGCTCTGTAAAAGAGACACAGCAGTACAGATAGGTTTAGTCTCAGAATTTGCATGTTCATGACAACTCTTTACCCACCAATGTTAGACATCTGGATTATCGTGAAAATTGCACTTCATCTATTTTTATTTGAAGAAAACCCAACAAACATCTGAATACCAATTACAATAACATTGTAAATTGGAAGAGCCACAATTCTTTGTATCTGCATATACAAATCTGTAGCAGGGCTATACTGGGCAAAGAGATCTCAGAGTAAGTAAGGTCTGACTAAGTATTTGAAGCAGAAGGTACTTTGTGACTTTGCAAATAAGTTCTGAGTATATCCTCCTCTTAGAATAAGTAGAATAAAAGAGGGCAGAAGTATGTTTGCGGGAGAAATAGAGCTGGAAGGTTAGTATGTTAAGCCAGAAGTAGATGAGTAGAAGACTAAATAGTGCAGGCCTTTGAAAAGGAGGACAAGCAGCTTGATTGTCATGCAGACAGAGGAATAGCACTGGAGGTGGTAGAAAGTACAGAAAGCCAGAAATGGTTGGGCTTTTAGCATCAGCATTGCAGGTAGACTGCAGCCCATTAACGGTAGTTGGACTCCTTTATAGGTACAAATTGAGCAAGAACATGCATCTGGTTCGTGAGGGGTTATTTTACTGTTTAACTGAAAGAATTTTGTTCATGGGAGATGATTTTTTTTCTGGGTAATACTTAGCTCAGTTCTAGAGTTGATGGAGGTGTGGGAATGCATGCAGTTCTTTTCTTGAATTGCTGATTTCATTGCTGCTGCATTAACAACATATCCAGTTTAGAGAAGAAATCAGTAGACAGGTAATTAATAACAAGTGATGTCAGGATTCTTTGCAAGGAATTCTTTGTTCTGCTCCTCTTTAGCAGTGAAAGAAAAGGCAGTGCTCCGTTATGGGTTTCTCTCTGTAGAATCTTCTGTAATTATTTCCATTGTATTGTCATGGCAATGTATGGCACACTTTCCTTGATGTGCAGCAGTAAGTAAGGAAGGATGAGATGACATTACTGGAAAACAAGCATGTGAAAATAGAGATCATTCAACTCAGTGCTAAAAGGGTGGGTTTACCCTGCCTAGGGAAAGCTTTTCTATGGATTAGGATCTCCTTTCTAAGCAGATTTGTCAGACATGGGATCTGGAGCCTTCCTTCCTTCTTCATGTGTAACCTCAGTAAGTTTCTATTAGGTACAGATAGTGGTATTTCTAATCCCTTCTCCCTCATTCTTTGAAGGTTCTGATGGGGCCTCATGATTGAGTAATTTCTGTCTGAGGGTTGGGCTGAAGTATTAATGCATATTCTTTGCAGGTGCTTAGAAATGGAGCAGGATTCAATTATATTGCCTGAGGAAGCTTCTGAAGGCTACTCATAGGTCATGGGGCTTATATATACCATGATGAGTAATGGTGGTGGAAGCTGAGGAAAAATTAACTCTCCACTGAATGTGCTTGCAGGATAGTACCTTCACCATAGGAATGCAGCCTCGTGGAACACCTTGGCAAGAGTGTTTGGGTACTGCAGGAGTGTGATGACTTAAATGAAAACATACATGCTACCAGCCTCCATATTCCCCAGTGCCCTCGGATCTGACATTTGTGATGCTATTGACATCACTGTTGTTATTGACAACTATATACTTCAAAAATTACTGGCATTTTAGTCTTACTTGGGAAGTGGTAGTTCTAAACTGGATCTGTAGGTGAGGTGTGCCATTTCGTTCCTGAGCTCATTCTCCCCAGACACAGCACTGCTTTCCTTCTGTAGGGTGCCTTGCTTTAGCATATGGTTCACTCCAAGAAATGAAAAAGATAAATAATGAGAAGTGAATGGCATACTGTCACATGGTATCCCCCTCCAGCAGATGAAAAGTAGCCAAGACATTACAGAGGAAGAGTAATTTCTGTTCTTATTTTCAGTTTGGCAGAGTAATTCCAGACGTCATTATGTTAGTTTTTCTTTGGTGTATGGAATGATTTGTTTTACTTAGGTATGTTTTTTTTTACTTGATGTATGTTTTGGCTGGTAAACAGAGCACTGGTCACTAGTTTATCTGATTAATGCCCTGAGCTAGTTTAGATTTAAGCTAAGGTTGTACTGTCCTTTATTATAATTTTATATTTATTGTAAATAAAGAATAACAGTCCTAAATTTAATGGGTTTACAGAAGTCTGAGGCAAAGAGGACATTCAGTACCTCAGCCTTTTCCATGTCCTGTGCTCCATTCAGCAGCAGGCCCACATTTTCCCTAGTCTGTATTTTGTCACCTACATAGCTATAAAAACCTTTTTTGTTGCCTTTGACATCCCTTACTAGATTCAATGCCAGGTAGACTTTGGCTTTCCTAACCCTGTCTTTGTGTGCTCAGACAGTGTCTTCATCTCAGGTTACCTGTCTCTACTTCCACCTTCTGCATTCTCCCTTTTTGTGTTTGAGTTTTGTTAAGAGCTGCTTGTTCATCCACATGGGCATTTTTTTCTTGGTCATTTGGATGGACTGCTCTTGAGCTTGAATGAGGTGATCTTTGAATAACAACTGATTTTCTTGGATCCCCTTGCCTCCAGGGCCTTATTTGGTGGTGCTGTTTCAAGTTCATCCCTGAAGAGGCCAAAATATGATCTTCTCAAGCCCAGGGTTGCGATCTTGCTTTTTGCCCTGCTTCTCAGGATCCTGAACTCTACCATCTCCTGGTCACTGCAGCCAAGGCTGTGCTTGACCCTGACAAGCTCTTCCATGTTGATAGGTATGAGGCCCAGCAGAGCACCTCATTGATCACCTCCTCTGTAATTTGGGTCAGCTGGTTGTTATTGAGGCTCCCTGAGAACTTGCTGGATTGACTATGCCCTGCTGTGTTTTTCCTCCAGCAGATATTTCAGTGGTTGAATTCCCCCATCAGAATCAGGGTCTGCTAATGGGAGGCTACTTTGAGCTGTCTGTAGAGTGCCTCATCCACCTGTTCTTTGTGGTCAGGGGGTAAAATAAACTCCTGTATGCATAGTAGAAGTTAGCAGACAGCGCTGTCACTTTTTTTTCTCAGAAGGCTTGAAATTTTCCCCTTTTTTATTCTGCGATATGAACTGGAGGTTTAAGGGATTTGAGGGAAAGCCTAGAAACTTGAGCTGCTGTCTTGTAAAGGAAAAATATTTCCTTGACATTATCAATTACCAATGCAAAACTAGAATATGAAGAAATGTAAAAAGTTCAGTTCAGATTTTTAAAGGGTTACATTTCATTGGGTGTTGTTGCTTGTGTGGGCTTTGTTTTTTTTTCTGCCAAGAGACTGTACACAAGTTGTCATAACAGCCTGTAATGTATACTTGTGTTTACCAAAGCAGTTAATGCTATAATGGCAAAACACTAGGTAGAACTGTTGTTTTCTGCTCAGAGAAAAAAGGCATTAAAAAAGGATCATAGCTGCACAAGATATGCACAAGTCTGTGTGGTGCTTCTGAGTCTTCTCTGTGTAGTCATCAGTCAGGGACAGCGTTTGGCCCAGGCAGCTGCAGGAATGTGAGCATGAGAACTGCAGTGCCCTGTGGTTGCAGCAGACTGGGACACCTGCTCGAGACCTGAGCCTGCTGATTGACTTTGCTTGTGCTAAATCTACCCCACAGCAGACACAGATAAACCCCATCTCTTTACACTGAGGCACTTTCTGAAATGTAGCACTTGCCCTGTTGTTGAGCTGTTTGGTTACAGCAGCGATGGTTTTTTTGCCCACCAATTGCTTTAACAGTTACTATGCTTTTAAACAACCTTCACCTACTTTCATGAGTTAAAATAGCTTATGCACTTAAGTAGATCATGCTGTATTACCTGGAATGCAGCACTCTGTTACATGTTGTTTATGATCTGATTATGTGCTGAAGAAGCTGGTTTCAGATAATCAACACTTAGCTCTCTGTGAGGCTGCACAGAGCTGATCTTGTGAGTGAACTTCACATTATTTATCTATAAAAGGAATGGCAGAGGCCCAGTGAACTCCAAAGCAGTTGTTGTGAGGCTTAGCTTCATGACTGACGATTCTTACACAACTAGTTTTTACTTTAGACTCTAAGATATGGCCTCACTAAGTATCTCCTTTTTAATACCACCATTTCCCTTTCTTAAAAGAAGTCAGGGAAGATAATTTTAAATATAGAGGTGACCTTTTTCTACTGTATTTTACTACTTGATGAGTCTAGGGAGATTAAAACATAGTTCTTCTTTTGCAAAAGCATAAAACATTGAAACAAAATTAAGTAATTGGGCTAATGTCAGTGCAACTGAGAGCTTAATTTGGTGTTTTCTGCCTCCTGTTCTTGTGCACCTTTGGTTTTTTTGATTGAATCTATGTAATTGTAAACTGCTAACACTGCTTTTTGTTTTAGGAACCTCCTGTCTCTCAAATGCTAACTGAAGAAATTAATGTAAAAATGGAAAGAAAAAAATCCAATAGAACAAATGAAAAACCAAATACATATTTGTGCACATACACAGGTTTACAAAGTAGGTCAAAGTTTAGCTGTGTAAATATTAATAGACTGTCCCATATAATGCAAACAACCAGCTGTGCTTTGGATACTCTCGCAATTAATCAAGCTTTATGGGCATCTTGAGCCTTGAGCATGTGTGATGACACCAGCTCTATCCTGGGATCTCTTCAAAGGATTTATGTATGTGAGATCTTTTTCTCAGGGTACTGTAGTGACCCTATCCCTAGCAGCATTATTCCAAGGATTTATGGGGCTCTTGCCAAACCCTAGAGTGACTTTGTGACATCCTGCATCACCTAAGTGCTCCTGTGTTCACCCTCCTTTTTTAAGAAATATTGTGTGATTTCCATCAACTGTGTGGGTGATTTCCACATGAAGTAATTTCTGTAATACCAGTGCTGTTTCATGACTTAAAGTCATAGATCATGTCTGATCAAGGAAGATAAAATTAATCATAGGGCTTATAAAAAAAGTTACCTAATCCCACTCTTACAGCAGCAACATAAAAATTATATTTTCTTTTCTTTCTATGACTTCAGCAGTATAATAATCTTTATCAGATGATGTTATTTGTTTTCAGCTTAAATAATACTGAAAGTAGCTGTGTGTTACTTGTGATGTCACGTGCCCTTTATTTTAGGGTCAGAGTTCATGGCAAGGTTATTTATTGTTCCTTTTCTTTTTCTGCTGGGGACTGTTAGAGAAATACAAAACAGTGGAACTTAGGCTAAAACATAATTAGTGGATTTGTGTTGACTTCTCATCTGACTACTAACCATTACTTTTGTCTCACAAGGTCTGATGCTTGTGGCCTATGATGTCCAGCACAGATAACTGGAGCTGCGAATATCTAAGTATCTTCCAAAGTTGTGGTAGAGTTTTCTTCAAAAACCTACTGATCACATAGAGAAGAGCTTCTTTACGTATCTCCAAAGAGAAGCTCATTCTTAACATCTTAGCCTAGTCTGAGGCAGCTTTTGGTGGCCTTGTACTCTCTGCTTGCTGATTTGCACATTCACACCTTTTCCCCTATCCTTTACGCTGGTATCATTCAGTGAGATGTTTCAGATCACTTTAAACATTCCCAAGGAATTTATCAGAAAAGTGATAAAGTTTCAATGAAATCAGCATCCTAACACTATCTCGGTTTCATGTGCACCTTCGTGAGAGTCAGGGGGAAGCAAGGCCATGCCATCTAGAAGAGAGGGAAGGCTGGGCCTTGAATCCCTGGTTCATTCAGTCTTAAACTACAGTGGGGTTTTAGTTCAAGTTTAATATCTGATGATATATGAGGAGATCTAGTAGCTGTCCTCTGTCAAAAGAGGCAGTTCTGTTATTGTTTTCTCTTGTGATCCATCCCTTAGTGTATATGTGTTTTCCCTTGTGCTGGCATTGATGTTTGTCTAGCTCTGTGTTGAACTGCCTTAGAGCCTAAGGTAAATTAATTTCATTCTGCTCCAAAACCAACTTGATGCACCTTGATAGATCACCTTAAATTTTTAAATGTTTTAAATGTTTTGTCAAATTTCAAGCTGACGTGAATTTTGAAACTAAAGTGAACATAAAGTAATTTGGGGCAAATTTTTCCTGGTGTTTTCATGGATAGCGGAAGTAGAGCGCACCAGGAATATTTCAAAGGAATTGGGCTGTGCAGCAGGAAACCTGATGTTCTTTCTTTATATAATGACATAGATCTCAAAAGTAGGACTATGAGGATGGAGGAGCACAGGGAGACTTTCAGGCTTCCTTGACTTCTGTACACAGAACCACCTAGACAAAGAGTCATCAACTTTGAAATCTGTCCTGCTAGAATTATGCGAGAAGAAATTAAGGGTGCAGTAGCCTTGCTCTGAAAAGACATAAATAGAATGGAAACAATCTGTGTGCTAGTAAATATCTTCTTACGGTCTTGTGTCTGCTGCTGTTATGATCATGGGAATGGAAGGCTTTTAGTGCATTTCTGTTATTTGCACCTAATTATCATAAAATTGCTAGTGAGCCTGCCCCTGAGGGGTTGGATGTGTTGTGAAATGCTGTCATGTGACAATTTCTCAGTTTTTGTGGCTTCAACCTCACTATGGCACTAACTTTCTGGTACTCATCCTGTGCTTTATTTATTTCATTTTTGCAGCTGGAATAATTTCTTTCTGCTCTGCTGAGCAATACCCTCACCAAGAAATAAGGTAACCTTCTGTAACCAGCTTCTTAAACTGTTGCAGAGTTTGGAGGTGCTGTGTTCTTCAAATTTGATTGAAAAACTCAAAGGTAACTTATTGTGAAAGATGAATGTGAAAATTTGAGAACTTGGTGAATCCACACAGTTCTCAAAGTACAGTGTGGGCCTTCAACTGAGAGAATATGTTTATCCATACATTACCCAAGCACTAATATTATATTCCTCAGCTTCACAAGTTGTAACAAATACAGAATAGGTAACAGCAAAGTTATTCAGCTCACCTTACTGTAGTGTAGTAAAGGCTGGATGTGGCACTGAGTGCCGTGATCTAGTAATCACCGTGGGGCTGGATCAAGGGTTGGACCTGATGATCTCGGAGGTCTCTTCCAACCCAGTTAATTCTATGATTCTGAAATCTGACCTCTGCAAACATGTTGGGTCCCCTCATCGCCTTCCAGCCTGGTCAGTCCTACAACTTCAAACAAAGGCACAGCCAGCAGAGAGTCCTGGGTAAATAAAACAAAAAAACAAAGCAAAACAAAAGAATTGTGCCCGTGGAAAAATTTCGAGTGAGAAACAGGATGAGTGCAGAAACCCAGTTGCATATATGGAATTAAGAGTTCAGAAAATACTATTTTATTTATAGCAACATTAAATATAAGCTGAATGCACAATACTATAAAGAAAAATAATTAATGATAAAGGAACTCCAATGTATTTTTGGGAGCCACTGCTGTGGCTTGCTGAAGTTAATTTAAGACTAGAGGACATTTGGAAATTTGAATGCCTTACTGATCTCCAAAGACAAGTTAGAAAGTCTAATCTAGATTCAATATATTATTTATTTTTGTTTAATTAATTAACGCTCCTAAGTAATATGAAGTATGCACGGTTGTGATTTTTTAAATTAATTTTGTGGATACACGGTGCAATGATAATTGTATGCAATTTAAAGCCTGAAAGCACATATTAGAGAGGAAAACAAAGAAACCAAACCCAAAACCCTGCTTTGAAAAAGAACAGTTTTTATTAAAAAATCAGTCTTACCTAATAAAGTGCTAGCATCTGTGGCTCACAGTACAATAGCATGCTGAGGACAGTGTAATTAAGTTAGTGAATGTGGGAAGATAGCTTTTGTCAAATACAATAATAAACAAAGGTTGTATGTATCACATAGTTTAGTACAATCTCTGCAGACAGACTCAAGAACAGTTCTGGCACAAATCAGGTTGTAGGACTGGGTCCTACATCAGCCATCTTTCCTCAAGACTCATAAAACCAAAACCTTTCTGTTTTCTGTGCTTTGCAAGTTTATTTTGAAAGCTTGGGCTCACTTGGAACTACTTAAACATGGACATTCTTGTTCAGGCAGTTGTATTTTCTGCTTTTCAGATTCTAAAATGGCCCTAAAGGACAAATGCAAGCCATCCATGTTAAAATCTGAAGATGCCAATTCAAAAATTATGATACTGAGAAAATCACGTTCCTGAAATAGCTCCTTATTTTTCCATGCAGTCAGCTTTTCATTTAAAACTTTGCCTGCCCTGGGCTGACATTTATGCTGTGCCCCCAAGGTCATCAGATGGGGGCTCTTTGACTGTAGTGGAGCAGAAAACCAAAGCAGAAGAGGTATATATAACCACTGTATTTACTTTAGCAGCACAATCTCCTATCCTGTTATATGTCAAAGTGAATAATGATAGAAAATCACTGTCGTAAAATCAGTGCTTTCCCTTGCCTGGTGCAGGCACAGTTGTTCTGTATTTCTGTTTTTTTTACCCTCTCTGTGGACATCAAGTTATGGGAAGGGCTGTGGGAAATATTTTCCTAAAGAATTATTTGTGTGACTGGACAAATACAGGCTTAAATGGATATGTGTGTCTGCCCTAAAGGTTGGTCATCAAGGATCTGATACAAGGATTGAGTGGATAATGCCAGTTTATACTTGGTTTGTCCTTTGGTATGAAATTGCTAGTTGATGTGGACTTCTTTCTTTCCCACCCTCCCCCCACTTTTCCCAGAGTGACAGTAATTGAGATCTATTGCTGGTCATAAAAACAGCCTCACTGCTGGTAATTACTTATGTATTGGGTTAAGTTTGATCCTTCTGCATAACTGATTGAATGCTTTTCATTTGCAAGCTTCTTGTTTCAACCTTTAAAAGAATCTCACAACACTAACTTCACACATGCAAAATGTGCTTAAAAAATGGTATTCTTTGTAATCCTGACGTAATTGTGGCTTGTTGAGTTGCTTTGTTGCTTATATGCTGTGCTAATAATCATAATGTAAAGAACTTGCACAGAAAGAGAGACTAAAAGTTAAATTTTATAACTCTTAATTTGATATTTCTGGAGGCCACATTCAGCACGAAGGTGTAAAATAGAGCTTGCAGCTAATATCTGCTAGTATATTTTACATCTAAATCTGTGGCTAACTGAAATGGAGACTGTTTCTTTGAGAGCCTAGAAAGCAAATTGTACATAAATCTTATTTCTGAGTCTTTGAAGCTGAAAATGTATATGCCCTTTAAATTACAGAATATGCTGAGTTGAAAGGGACCCACAAGGATCCCTTTGATCAGCTAGGTGGGTTACCTTGTCATAAGAGGAAATCAGGCTGGATAAGCAGGACTTTCCTCTCATGAAGCCGTGCTGGCTGTGACCAATGACTGTGTTGTCCTTCAGGTGTTTTTCAATACTTCACAGAATAATCTTCTCTATAACTTTACCAGATACTGAAGTGAGACTGACAGGCCTATAGTTTCCTGGGTCCTCCTTCTTGCCCTTCTGGAAAATCAGAACAACACTTGTCAGCTTCCAGTCAGCTGGGACTTCTCCAGATTCCCAAGACCACTCAAAAATCATCAAGACAGGTTTTGCATTGGCATCATCCAACTCTTTGAGAATTCTGGAATGAATCCCATCAGGCCCCATAGATTGCAGAGATCCAGCTGGAGCAGCAGATCCCACACAATTCAGGGTTTACTGAGAGTTGATAATTCTGGGAGTCATGGTCCTCCAGCTCAGGGCACTGAGAACCCCTTGGTCCATCATCTGTGTTGAAGACAGAGACAAAGAAAGTGTTCAGCACCTCTGCCTTATCTCTGTCCCCATTTGTGAGGTGACCATCCTCATCCTATAGTGGGCCAATGATATTTCTATACTTCTGTTGCCATTAATATATATATGAAAAAAACTCTTTTTATTGTCTCCCACATTTCTGGCCAACTTCAACTCAAGCTGAATTTTCTCCCTACAGCAGCAAGAAGAATCTCTGTATTCTTCCTGTGCTGTAGATACTGTAGATACTTCTTGGTTAGCACCTAAAATACCTAATACATTATTCTGCTTGTTTTTATCCTCAGATTTTTTTCAATGACACTTACGTTGTTCACATAGGGAAAATTAGTTTCCAATACCTGTAATGCATTCATTTAGAAAGCTTTTCAATAAAACAGAACCACTTTTAAAACCAGACAACAAACAAAATTAGAATACATTAACACTCAAGATTGTTAACATAGTTGATTAAAAATGCAAATAGAAGTATGACATATGTCTATGAAGCAATAGTGAACTAAAGTCTGGAGAAGAACAAAGTACCACTCATGACTTTTGATTCTCTGCAAACTGTGAAAACCTAATGTGCATCTCCAAGTACTAATAGCTTTGGTCCCTACAGAGTTCTCTAATTGAAGCTGAGTTCAGGCAACATTTCTAGTTGTGTTGTGGTGTTAGGGCCACCTTAGTTTTACCTGCAGTCCAGCAGCAATGAGATACTGTAATTTTCCTGATATAAGTGCATATTTCAAAATGACATAATAATGGGCAGTGATATGCTGGAATGAGGCACTCTGATTCCCCAAGCAGAACTTGGGATTTAGGAGAGGAAACAGTTGTTTCTGCAGAGTTCTCTGCAGTATTTCTGCTTCTGTGGAACACTGCGCAGTAACATTCCTGCCAATAACATTTTCGTACTTAGTCAGACCCTTAGGAAGTTTTTCTAATTGCAGGAGGCAAACTTCATTGTTCTTAAAAGGGATTAGTCCCCAGAGTGCCTAACTCCTTTTGTCCCCCCCTTCCCTTCACAAGTTTGCAGATTCACAGGGGTTTAAGATGAGGTGTTTAAGTGCCACTTAGTGGCTGTCCAGAGCAAATGTAAGGTACTGTAAACAGTTTCCATCTCTCCACAGCTCTCCCTCAGCAGGAGAATTCCTCACCGTATCATGGAGATACTGAAGGGTTAATCTAAAACTGGTTTAAATCAATTAAAAGATCCTGGTGGACTTTCCATAAGAATTTCAGTTCTGTCCTTCCTATTTTACTTTTTTTTCCAAACTGTCCTATTGAAGTTCTGTTTGGGTTCTTCTAGTGGCTTTGGGATTTGGGGGGGGGAGGGGGAATTTGGATTTTTTCCAATATTTTTGTAATAAGTGCCTGTAAAAGTATTGAACAAGTTGGTATTTTGCTATGCAGTACAAGAAGCACCAGTAAGTAAAGTCTGTAGAAGTGTTTCTGGAGTTTATTCTTAGGTATTGAAATTTGCAAAACAAGACATGCTTAAGTGGGGTTAGCGTTTGACATCAGTCCACGTTCTGGGATGTTTCGGTTCCCCTCAGTAGAGTATCTGACAGATGCGAAAACGTGAGTTTTCTCAGTCATGTTGTGAGCTTGCCATATACGTGTATGTGGGTAAGGACAAAAGTTTCTCTTTAGAAACTTGTGGGGCTTACAGATATTGTTTACATGTATGTTACTAACTCCATGCTGAACTAGATACATCCAGGGGTAACAAACCTCAGAGTGCATGCATTGCATGAATGCAGGCTTCCTCTTTATTGGGAGGACGTTGTCAGTGGATATTCTGCAGGGAGTTTGTGTACTGCAGAAGGCATGCTTCAAGTTTTCCTTTAAAATCAAATTGTTTTTTTTATCTTCTATTTCAGTTTTTGTGTTTAATAGACTGTCCGTGTGCCAGCTGGGATTGGAAGAGTCAGAAAAGTTCCCAGGAATCTCAAACAAACAAAACACAGATTTCTGATTACATTTCTTATCAAAGTTACAGAACACAGACTATCAAGGTCTTGGGATAAATCCCTTCACACAGGTTGAGACTATGCACTTCCAACAAGCCATAGAAAAACTACATATGTGACAAATTTTCCTTAGCCAGATAACCCTCAGTGACCTAACTTTTACACATATACACTTGCACAGGCATGTCAGCCTGTTGTGGAAGTCTTGATGCCAGCTTGAGACATCAGCTGAATTAGACTTCCATTGTCATTGTCTTAACTGGAGTTGTGAGAGAAGTCAAAGCATATGTATGGGGATGACTTTGTGAATCTACAATGAGAGAATGTAATAGTTGATTGTTATTTTTTTAAGCTCTTGCTGTTTGGCTGTATATTACAGAAAAAAAATGGGAAAATTAATTAAAGCTGGCCTACATTCTACTCATTAATTATAACTGAAACCAATGCGACACTTGAGAATTTAATACATCCTGGATTAAAAATCCTGTTTAAATTTAATATCTTTATCAATGGTCTGGATGAGGGGATAGAGTCTACCATTAGCAAATTTGCAGATAACACCAAGCTGGGGGGAGTGTTGATCTGCTGGAAGGCAGGAGGGCTCTGCAGAGGGACCTGGACAGGCTGGACAGATGGGCTGATTCCAACAGGATGGGTTTCAACAAGGCCAAGTGCCGGGTCTTGCACTTTGGCCACAACAACCCCTGCAGCGCTCCAGGCTGGGCTCAGAGTGGCTGGAGAGCAGCCAGGCAGAAAGGGACCTGGGGGTGCTGATCGACAGGAAGCTGAACATGAGCCAGCAGTGTGCCCAGGTGGCCAAGAAGGCCAATGGCATCCTGGCCTGGATCAGGAACAGTGTGGCCAGCAGGAGCAGGGAAGTGATCATCCTCTGGCACTGGTGAGGCTGCACCTTGAGTATTGTGTTCCATTCTGGGCCCCCTCATTTGAGGAAGACATCTGAGGTGCTGGAGCATGTCCAGAGAAAGGCAACAGAGCTGGTGAATGGTCTAGAGCACAAGTCCTGTGAGAGCGGCTGAGGGAGCTGGGATTGTTTATAGACCAGAAAAAAGGGATTCAGAGGAGACCTTGTCACTCTCTACAACTGCGAGGTTGTGGCAAGGTGGAGGCTGGTCTCTTCTCCCAGGTAACAAGTGACAGGATGAGAGGAAATGGCCTCAATTGCACCGGGGGAGGTTTAGATTGGATAGTGGAAAAAAATTCTTCACTGAAAGGGTTGTCAGGCATTGGAAGAGGCTGTCTAGGGAACTGGTGAAATCACCATCCCTGGAAGCATTCAAAAAATATGTGCATATGACACTTGGGGACATGGTTTGGTGGTGAATGTGGCAGTTGGACTTGATGATCGGAGAGGTTTTCTTCAACTAGCTGATTCTGTGATTCTAAAAGACCTACTCAGCTGACTTCTAAGGCTCACGTGTTCTTCAGGGTCCTTGTGCTTGTGAACTCATTTAAATATGTGAGCTCGGACTCACAAGTTGCAGCAGTATCTGAACTTGCCAGATCAGTTCAGTAAGAGTTCACATGTCCAGCCTGTCCATCCAGCTGTGTGCAGGTTTCTACTGGAATGCCAGAGTTCCGTCTTGGTAACAAGAATACCCTGGAGGGAGGAAATGACAGAACTGACCCCATGACTATTTTGTTGTAACTTTATTTTTGTATTTATGTATTTCAGTAGCTTACCTCATGTCAAATAGTATTTTGGGCTTTATTCCTGAAAATATGCATGCATTTCCAAATTTTACCTAGTCCATGAGTCTTACATGAAATGACGCAGCTATCTAGCATTCTTTGTGATAAGACATGGTTAACAGAACCTGTGGTGAGGGACTGCATTTGTTCTGCGTGGATCTGTGTTTGTGGATAGCTGACTCAGCATGTGAGGGCTTCCATTGTTCTGGCAGAGGAGCGGAAGCACAGTCAGCACATGTGGCTGAAATGTGCACTGGTGACTTACAGGAGTATATCCTGAGCCCTTTGAAGCAATGCAGCTTTATCAAAACCACAAAAGAGCCATAAGGAGAAATCCTGCTGCTGTATTGTAAAAGCCTCGTGTTGTGTGTTATATTTCACAGATGTTTTTCAGTGTGTTTTTAGGAGTCGAAACAGAATTGGCTTAAAACAACTAAATGTGGAATGTTGTTTGTAATGAAACCTGGAGCTGCAAACTTCTGAATGGAAAGCCAAGTGAATCGTGGGGAAAGTGCTTTTTTCAGATTGGTAGAGGTAGTGTTTGAATCTTGGTTTTAAAGATGGTTTATTGCCCTTTTGTGGCTTTTGTTGTAATTGAAAGACTGTATGACTTAGTCAAAAATATAGAAAATCACAAGAGCAAAAGAGCCCTCATCATTGGCAAAGATGTGCTCAATGGGTTAATAAGCCCTGAGAAGAAATGGAAAGGGAGACATAAGAAACAGTAAATTAAAAGTGTGTGCAAGAGAACATTGCTGATAAAGCTTTCTGCTTTCAAGACAGTTGAGAAAAAATGTAATCAGCAGAACAACACAGATAAAAATCCCAGATAATGTAATAAAAAGGCAGATTTATATGCACCATACAAAGTTACTGTACATGCAAATTATTATATTAGTAGGTTCTAGTGGTATTCTGAATTTCACATTACACAGAAAATACCTAGGGAAGGACTGTGCTGCAGCTTGCAATCGAATGGAAGGCTGGTGATGAGAAGTGATGGTCAAGGTCCGGGTGGGCAGTGCAGAGTGCACTTCTTAATCGACTGCGAGGGGCTGCTGCAGTTCTCAGCAGGCTGCTGCAGTTTTCCTGCTGGGGTTTTGTCCGAGAGCACCAGAGCAGGGAGTCTTATGATATGAGGGCAACGTTACGTAAATTGAAATTTCTTCAGCTTGATTCTGGAAAAGAACAGGATAGTATGGTATTTGTTTCCTCTTTTTGTTATCTATGTTTAAAATGCATATGGATATAGTACCAACTTGGCTGTGATTTTAGTGGGGGCAGGATTGGATCCTTCTCAAATGAATAGCTTTTACACACAGATGCTCCTCGTATGTGAATTGCAATGTAGTTCCATTGACAGTAGGTAAGTTCTGGACCCTACACTTGCTGAGAGATAAACCTGGATAGTTTTTATTTTTAAGGTTTTTCCAGCAAAACCAAGAATATATTGGGTTGGGGATGGAATGGTTAACAAAGTTTTATTTCAGCTATTGAGGTTTTTTCAGTTTACTAAAATGGGTGTTCCTTTACAGTATGTGAACCACATAAAAGTCCATTAGAATCTGTGTACTGTCTATGGAGATAGTGGCTGAATTAAATTATGAGAAATCAATGCTGTTAGAAATAGATTTATTAAGTTATTAAGTAAATTGTGGAGAACTGAGAAGACTGGCTACTTTTCTTGGCTCTCCATACTGTGGAACTCAATATACTTTCCTAGTCTCCTACTATTGCAACTGAAGTACACAAAAGAATATGCTTAGGGCAGTGGGACTATTTTTGTGTTTATAGTTAAATATGTGAACAAAGAGCTAGGCTATAACTCTGTAACATTAAGCATACAAGATTGCTTATTTTATATTACTCATTACTAGAGTGTTCTAAAGGTCCAAAGTGAGTATGGACATCTTAACTAATGTGAAGTCCTGTTTAACGGAAATAGGTAATCATAGTATACATGTCTCCCATAGCACATGGGGAATTGATAAATTTATAATTATGTTTTGATTTTAACCAGTCAAATGTGAGTGTCATGTTCTGCTCATACTCTGGTTTTCCTCAACATTTCCTAGACTTTTTTTACTACATAACTTTTCTATTATTGGAAGTAGAAGTGTATTTAATTTTTTTCCCCAATGTGAGGTAGTGCTTCTCCACAAAGGAAATAAGACCTGTATTGAAATGAAGTGTCTTTCTTCCCATCTAACTTGAGTTAATCATATAAGCTTCAAGTATAACCTTTAATTAATTGCATTTTGAAAATGATTCTTAAACTTTAAGAAGTTGGGGTTTTTTTCCTCCTGAGACCTGTCAGTGCTTGCCATAAGGAAACAATGGGAGGCTGGCGGAAAACAGTGCAAAGTCCTTCCAGGGCCAGGTATCTACTGGCAGGGGACATTAATGGCTGTTTGATTCTCATATCTTTTGCATTCCAGTGTCAGGGGATTTTTAAAATAAGCAGTCTTGCATCATTAATATTTTATAGTTTATCCAGTTGTGTCAGGGTGTGTGTGCAGGTGTGTGTCATCCCAGCGTCTGCTGCTCTCTCCCCAGAGCTGCCTCAGCAGTCTGGAAAGCTCAGCTAAGTTATCCCTCAGGTGGGTGACACTGAGAAGACCAAAAACTGCTGCCCTGCAGGGAGGAAAAACAGGAGGCTTCCAGCTGCTTCAGCTACAGTCAAGACCTAGCTGATGATCTCAAGGGTTCAAACTTTGTGTTTGTCACTGCACACTGGGAGCATCCCCATTAGTTCTGAGCTTTGTGATCTGCTTCTGCAGTCTTCTAGTTTGCTCTGCCTGTGCTCCACTCTTCCTGCTCTGGTTTCACAGCTGCCAGAAAACCCTCATCACAAAACAGAATAAATGCATGGAACCTCTGATGTCTCTGTGTGGCAATTCCCCACTATGCTCTGAGTTTCCCTCATTGCTCATTTGCCACGTTGTCCTTGTGGGTTTTTTGCATCCAACTATTCAGATCAAAGTGATCTCTTCACAAGTCTGCCTGGACTTATCTGCAAATTCAGGCTGTGGTTTTTTGCTCATTTATAGAGATCTGATCATTTGATCACAATTAGACCACTCAGCAGTGCACATTTGATCTTAGTCAAATGCAAACATAGGATTATGCTTGAGTGGAATTAGTCAGAACCCATAGTAAAGTTTCTGGCATCTTTAGGCTTCATTTTCCTGCCTGTGGGAAGACAAAAAATACAGAATCCAGCATAAAGCTTTCCAATCCAAAGTGTGCTCATCAATGTTTTTGGAATGCATCATGTTTGTTGGTCAGGTACCGTACATCTAGAAGTGTCCTCTTTTCAGCTTCTCTTTCTGTAGCCTCCTTGAAGGTAGAGCTGCTTTCCTCTGGGTCTAGATTCTCTGTAATGCTCAGCCTCACACAAAGAGAGGTCCTTTTCAGGATGATAGTGAAGACCTTGTTGTGTACAGAGAGGAAAGAGATAAATGAAACTTTTTACTATGAACGTGGACGGAGGGGATAATTCATGAGAAGAGTAACTGCCAAAATGTGTTTAAATATAATTCAGAGGGAAAAGCTTTAAATGGGAATGGGATTTGCTTTGAAACCATCACCAGAGTTAACACAAAAGCAATAGGAGAGGTCAGGTTTCAAGTAATACAGTTGTGGCTATACCTTTAATGCAAATTCTTCTGAGACACCATTCAGTGGTGACATACTATGAAGACTCACAAAAATACAGCCATTAAATATAAAGAAAGCTGAAATCAGAGGAGAGTGAGTCAGAAATATTCCTCTTTTGAGTTAAAACTACACCCTCCTTTCTTCTTAATATTTCCTTCTGTCTCATATCTTTTCTTATCTCCAAATAAAAGATTTTTTTTAATGGAGAGATCTTTGTTGGAGGAAAAATAATTGGGGTATTTGTGTATGTGTAAATTTATTAGGATATCTGTAAAGTGGAAAGGTCAACTTTCTGATGATGTAAGCTTTAAGTTGTGGCTTTGAAGTATTTTACTTGCTACTATTTAAAAACAGCCACAGATATCGTGCTAATACTTTCCATGATAACATGGAACAGTTCATAGGAATGAGGGTTTTGTTTTGATTTTTAAAAGATCGTACACTTAGATAAGATGGTATCAAGGGCTACTTATTCTTTATGCAGTACAGATGTTATTCCCTGTCCTTGAATTTTTCCATTTACTCAGAATGGATCTCTAGTATTTTCGGAGAGATAGTTATCTACACAAGCCAAACTTAAAATACTTCCCCTCAGAGAAAGGGGAAGAAATAATTATTGAGAAATAATATTGTTCACACTCAGTGTTAGGAAAATGCAACTCTAATGCTGCCACCAAATAGTGGATATTCTGTATAACAATAAGCAGCACATAATGAGGAGCATTCTGTCTTGCTCTTGCCCTCAGTTGCTTTATGAAATAAAAGCAGACCAAGTTCTGTACTTCACATTTTAATAATTCCAGTGTTCTTGTAAGATTCTGAGTTTAAAGTCCTGAGAACAGATGTCATTTATTCATGTATGTGCTCTGAACATCATGAACAGTAGCAGCAGTGATGATTTCTCCCTCTATCATGCCAATAAGCCTTTAGAGACCACTACCATGATGGGTGTTGGTCATATTTATTGGGCTTATGTCTAAGAACATCTGTGCAATCAAAATGTCCATGGCCACTATCATAATGACAGAGAAAGCCATTGGCAATCCTTGTGAATTGTCTCTACTTTTATCTGTAGAACTATAAGAAAATTAAAGTCTATTCTCCTTTTATGAAAACCTGAAATGTATTTGTTACAGTTTTAATTTCAGAAACTGTAGCTTAGGTACCATCTGAGAAGAACTGCTTTTTTGTTGCCCCCTCAGCTCTCTACAGCTCTTTACAGACACAGAGCCAGCACTAGGACACTCACCAGTGCAGCATTAGGAGGTGATAGAGCCAGCCCTCTGGCAGCTCACTGTCTTGTTTGCTTTGTATGAACTAAACCCAGGATCATGCAGTCTGTGGCAGTGGCCAAATCTGCCCCTTTTTTGCCTCAGTGAGCTGCAAGATTGGTTCTCCTTCTCCCCATCCCATGTGCGTGGAGTTGCTCTTTTCCTCCTGTTTTCCTTTAATAACATAGACTAGTGGAGCAGTGTCAGCTCTAAACCCAGAGATGATTCCCCTGGCTGTAAGTGTGCAAGTATATCCAGGGCAGTCTCCCAACAGAGTAGCTGTCTTGATGAGTGTCTTTGGGCAAAGAAAAGAGCTGAATTTGGCACTTAAACATCTAACGTTGAGTGGTCTAATTTTACTGGAAGAACTGCAGAACAGATTCTATGCTTTTCTGTAACGATTTTGCAAATCTAGTTCTTCATGTTGTTTCTGTGAGAGGGTGGAAAATAAAGGGCTTTTTGTTTTGGGCCCAGTGGATTATTTCCTGTGAAATCCAAGCCTTTTTTTCTTTCCTAGTTCTGTGCCCTTCCTCCAAACTGAAGAAAATTAGTTGTTTCAGGCAGCCCTATAGCCACTGAGTAGGGGAGTGTGTTCACAGGCAGCTCAGCCGGAGCAACGACGGGAACGAGTACCTTTCCTGGCTGGGTGGCAAGGAACATCTCTTGACCTGCCGGAAACATGCGTCTGCCATATGGGTGTTTTAATTCTCCTCTACGGCAGTCTGATTTCTGGAAGTAGAGTTGCTAGTGTGTGATGTCAAATGCCATTAGCTAACACGAATGGCGAGCCTGACTGGAGGAGTAACATTTCACAGAGGTTTCAGATGATTTTTTTTTTTTTTTTTTTGCGCGCGATCCTTTAATGTTAGGCATGACTTGCATGCCAGGATGTTCCCAGAAAGTGTTACTTACGAATCCTGTCGTCAGCGCCGAATTACGTGGACGGGCATCGCGGCGCGGCCGCGGGCGATTGTCTGCGTTCCCGGGCGCGCTGCCGGAGGGCGAGCCCGCTCCCTTCCCGAGCCCTCTCGCTTCCCGAGCCCTCTCACTTCCCGCCCGGCGGGAATGGGCTCTCGGGCGGGGGCGGAGCGCGGTGGGGGCGGGACGCGGCCCCGGCCCTTCCCTTCCTTTCCATTCCCTTCCCGCCCCGCGGCTCAGCCGGCGCCGCCACGGGCATCGTCCCCGGCGCGGCGAGCTCGCAGTCCCGCCGGCTGGGGCTCGGCCGTGGCCGCGGGGGAAGCTCTGGGAGGCCGGGCGGGCTGGCTCCCCTCCCGGCGCATGAGGAGCGGCCGGAGCCGGGGATCGCCGGAGCCCGTAGGATGTCACCATTGTTCAGCTGGGTGGCCAAGGTAGGCGGCGCGACGCCCGCAGCCCTCCGCTCTCGGGAAGTAAAGTCCAGCCTTAGAGTTTGCCGATGTGTAATTTCAAGGCAAGTCAGTGATCTCTGGGAAGGGAGCAGAGCCCTGCTGTATTGCTCAGGCAGGGAAAAGGAGGAGCACTCAAAGTGAACAGCTAAGTCAGGCTGCTATCAGTCGTGGCTTGGGTTGAGGGGTTTAAAGCGAAGCTGCGGGTCTGCAAAAGGGGAGAGCTGTAATTAAAACTTCACAGAAGGCCTGTTGAAGTCTAGCGCTACTTGTGTACTCTGGAGAATGTGCAACAGCACTCCCATTGTTTGTTTTGGACTTTTTTCCTGGTTTTTGTCATACTCTGAATTTATGAAGAAGAGTAAGTAAGCTTTTAGTGGGAGACTTAATTGTATGACCACGCGTGTGTCGTGCCGGTTTCTGTGTATCTGGGGCTTCAGTAAGGTTTTCCAATGTAACTGTGAAACTATGTATGGATGCAAAGCAGTAGAGATGGTTGAAGAAATCTAGAATATAGTTTTGAGCTGATGTTTAAAAAAAATTTCCAAAGTAACAGTCATTCTAAATTTTAAATGAGTTGTAAATTATATTCTGTCTTGAGGCACAATTGAAAGCGTAGAGGAAGACAAGTGCGTGAAACAGCTTGTTGACAGGCAAGAATTGGGGAAAAATACTTAATCATAACAATACTAGACAAACCACATAAGTCCTGGTTCTCCCATTTTGTCAGGTGTAAATGGTCCCTTGCTTAGTTATTTCTACATCCCTGTTCCTGACTATTTACCAGGTGAAATACCTACCCTGGGAAGATAGTAAGAGGGAGTGCTTTATATGTGACTGTATTGCCTGTCTTCAGATTCTCAAATAGAAAGACTTACTCTATTCTGCCTTGAAAGGCGTCTGCTTAGACACACCCTGAAAAATTGAACTGTATCCTTTCCTCTTTCCACTTGTCTTTTTTTTTCTCTGTAGAGCTGTCAGGTGGAACACTTGTTAAAGTAGTTGCTTCTCTTGTCGTCACTCTGGCTCTGTCTTGTGCATGACATAAGGCCTGATTTGACACATTATCTGAGGGAACGATACCAGCTGATTTCCCTGCTGACTCTTATAAATGTGCCAGTCTCCTATACAGGTGGCTGCTGTCAAAAGATGAGTGATGCCATTGAGTACATACTTCAAGGATGCTACCAAGGGATGGCCTGTTTCCCCCCCTCATTGTTCTCTTTTCAAGTGGACAAAGCAACTGGTCAGAGAGGAGTTAGTCTTGGAGGAGGTCAGAACTTGTAGCACATGGAGTTGGCTGCATTTTTAGGGAAACAGAAGCTGCTGAAGAAACATACTTCTGACTGCTTTCTGGTCTTTCAGATCTAATTATTTCAATGCTCGTTCCTCACCAGTGTTTAGTTTTATTCTTTTAATGGCTGTTAGTTGTCAGCACTAATTTGGGAGGGAAAGCAAAAGCAGTGTGTTTAGAAATATAAAATGAGGTTTGTTAACAGAGAAAGCTTTCCTGGCTGCCAAAATCTGATCAGTAAAAATGTAAGAACTACTGCTGTGGGCTTTCAACACAAATGTAAGCCTTTCCACTTTTAATAAGATGGTGGCCCATTCTAAAATGGGGAATGACTGTGGGTTGAGGGGGGGGGGAGGGAATCTGGCACCCTAGAAACAAAGCTGCCTCCTTGCATCTATTACTTAAAAATGAGTAACCCCTTAAGTAATATGGGTGTTTAGTCTCACCATGCAAGTCCCCAGGCCTGCAGATAGTTACATGTGAAGTAATTGACTCCCATATGCTATAAAATTGGTCCCTAGTGTTTGTATAAACATTACCTTTTAATATGTCTTTATTACAGGTTTTTACAGGCAGTTTTCCCCAGCTTGTCTCCTACCTACACAGAGGCTCCTTGGAGATGAGTTTTGCAGGGTCATGTTCTGGACTGGAGGACAAAGCCCCGCTTGAGTATTACATGGGTTGGTGTTGCCCCCACTGGCCATATGGATGCTGGCTAAACCACTGAATGATGACTGTAGATAATGAATTCTGAAGTACCAACTTGTTTTAGTCGCCTAAAATTATTTAAATAAAAAAGAATAGTTATACCTGTTTTTCCTGCACAGTGTGATACAAAGTCAGACAACTGACTTAAGGGAAATCTTTGATTAAGCAGCTAAAAACATAGTTTCTTGAAAATGTAAACTAAGTTTACACTGTTGTGAGTAAAAATAGAGTCACACTGGTAGATACACAAAGACTATGTATATTCAGTTTAGATCACTGAAGGAACTGTTACTAAAAGTAAAGTAATCATTGTGCAGTTGAAATATATCAAAGCCTTCAGTCTCCAAAAAAAAAAAAGTTAGACATGTAGATTTTTAGATCCATGGTGATCTTGCACAACATTAATTCATTAGTAGGAGATAATAATACAATGATAAATGTTAAGAGTAATGTTATTTCTGTTTCTCTCATATTTAACACAGCTTTAGTTTAAAAAAAGGATTAGTATTAGCTGTTTACAAGTTATTTAATTTTATAATGCAAGTTACTATTCAGTAGCAACTTAACAGAAACCACAATTAAAGAATTGATTGCTAAAGAAATAGAAACAGTTCTTAGTGTAATAAATTGTATAAACAGAGAATTTGAGTAAATGTGTCCTCAGATTTTCACCTAGTTATGCAACTTATGCACAACATGTCTTTCTAGTTACTGAAAAAGAGTACAATATATAATTTAATAGCTGTGTTTAGCTTCAGCTCATTTTGTCTAAAGGATTATAAACCAACAAGGAACCAGTAAAGAAAATAACTAAGGTAAAATGCAAAGCAAGGTTACATTGTTTAAATCAAGAGTTCTTCTATAATGATTCTGCTGGTAGGGATCAATCCACCCAGGCCAGCTACCTCCAATCTTCAGGACAGCATGTGGGAAGGGTATGCTCCCAGTTCCCTCCTGAGGGGAACTGAGAGCAACAGAGTTTGTCACTGCAGCCTGAGGAACCTTCAAGAATGTGCCATCAGCACTGGCAGAAAAGGGTGGGTTTGCAGTGTAGCTGTCCACAGCTGGCTTGGCTAATCTTGGACCTTGGGTAGAAGTTGATCATTTGGATTTCTTCTATAAAAATCAGATTTGTATTTACAAATAAATACAATTTGTTTGCATTGAATATACAAACAGGACATTGTGAGTATACTATAGTATATTCACAGGAGTTGCTCTGAAATTCACAAGAGCAAAACAAGAAGCAAATTTTTGTTTGGTTTGGTTTTTTTCTTGGATGGCTGAGTCAAAATGGCCTAGTAGCTTTCCTCAGTTTCGGAAGCTCTCAGGCCATCAGCAGAGAAAGTTTGTATGCTATTCAGTGCAGCAAGGCTTGATTACTTGGCTTGTATCTTGAAACATCACTGAAGAAGCAATTATAATAATATCGGAAATATCACTTAAGTTTCTTTTAATCCAAATTTAGCTTTACATCCTATATTAGAATTGATCTTGCTGATGTTTTACCGTTATTCCTACTATTTTCTATATAACAGAGTGTCTAGTAGACCTCTGCAGAAGCATGAATGAGAGTAAATATATACTTCTTAGTTTAGGTCAGAAGCTACAAATGAAATTAATTTGCCTTCTGCAAGAGAATGAAAGGGAACGAGAAACTGAAAATCGAGAAGGTCAAGAAATCGCCTCCTGCTTTCCTTTTTAAGAGTGTTATGAATGGATGATCTTGCCTTTTTTTGCTGGTCAGTTTTAGGGAATATCACGTTCATTTATGAGTTTTGCTCCAACTAAACTGATGTGCCACTTTGCTTTGTTGTCCAGAGCTTCCAGCAAAGACCTTTGAACATATTTAGTCCCTCAGTGAATAACTTACATTTTAGCCAAATAAATCAAGGTTTGGTCTCTTAAGGAACCCTCATAACCAGGCATTTTAACGCTGTCTAAAGCCAAAAACCTTAGATCTTTGTTAAACCTCTTTTACGTTTAAGCCCATCTTACTTCTAAGATGATGAATTATTTGGGTAGGTGAATAAATGGTGGTATCCTATGAGGTACGACCATAGTTTGTGTTCGTACATTTACCCCACTAACCCTTTTGTAAAGAGATTTGGATACTTGGATACTGTATCAAGAATCAAGGAGTTAATAGAGAACTAATGCCAGCGAAGAATTGGGGGACCACTGGGGAGGGAAGGCTCAAATGCTGCAGTTTCATCTGCGGAAGAATCTCCCTGAAGCCATTGGCGCTGTGGGTAGGGCTGGAGGGACAGACCCTCGCTTGTCTCCCAGGCTGGATGCCAGCAGAGCAGCCAAGACAAAGTGCAGATTTCTGCCAGAGCTGGGTTTTGGTGCCCAAGTTTGCACAATGCCCCTGTCAGAAAACACTGCGCTGCTGCTCAGTGTGATTCTCCAGGTCAGTTTATGTTGGGGTAAAATGTTGTTACCAATTGACAGCTTTCAGATAAATGCAGATTATCACAAAATGCTGAGCATTTTAAATGCACTGTTTTCTGTATGCCAGTCACTCACCGCCTTCCCCTGCAGGGGCCTGGCGATGACTGAGGAATATGCACTCAGCATCTGAAATGAAGTCAGTCCTGTGGTGAAACCCCTCTGTTACTCAGCAGTTAAGTTCCCTTTGGAGCTGTTTGCTTTTATTCTTCA